AGGGAGAGAGAGAGAGAGAGAGAGAGAGAGAGAGAGAGAGAGAGAGAGAGAGAGAGAGAGAGAGAGAGAGAGAGAGAGAGAGGGGATTGTTACTAATATTGACAATTTTGAAGTGTGTCCCCCTTTTTCACCATTAACTACTACCAAACCGACACTAACGAGATCAGCAAAGGAATACCGCGCCCAAAGAAGCCAATTATTGTAAACAAAAATAAAGAATAAAGGAATGGATGAAACATAAGAAGAGACCCCCCCCCCCAAAAAAAAATAAAAAAATAAAAATAAACCCCACCAAAAACAAAACAACCAAAAACAACAACAACAGAACAACAGCAACAACAAAATATTATAGAAATATAAACAACCTAAAAAGTAAATAATCTAATAAATAGATAGATAAATAAAAAAGAAAAAAGAATACAAACAAATTAAAACCAGTAGAGCTAAAAACCCTTTGGTGGCTTTCTATGGCCCTTATCAGCAAACAGTTATGTCACAATAATGATAATAGTTAGCATTTGTATAGCGCAAATCCCCGCTCAACAGCAAGATCTGTGCGCTTCACAATCTATACTATTATCCCAGCAGACCTGAGAGCATTCTGAAACAAACTCAACTTCCCGGGAAGCATACAGTGCAAGCGGCCATTTATAGGCGCAAAAACGGACATACTGACAAGATCTTTCGCTGTTTATAGCTGGATACCCATTCCCACCTGTGTGAAGTGGGGAAAATTCGTGTAAAGCGCCTTTCCCAAGAACACAACGCCAGGCCCGCTGCTCCAACCCCCGAACCTGCAACCTCACGATAACCTTTGTCATCTCATCATTCCTACTCTTAGTTCTTAGTTTGACTAAACTTTACTTTACCTTACTTTTATCCGCCTCTTATACCCTTTTGGGTGTCGCGGGAAGAAAGAGACGTCTCTCTGTCGCCAGCCGGAGAGCTTGGGTCAGGGGGATGCCGTGAGTTGTTAGTGTTTCCCTGACTCTATCTATCCAGGTCGCCCTCTAGCCTTGTTGCTATCAAATTTTTGGATGTAGGCACGTTGTGCTGGATGGTGTGTTGATAATCATAGAAGTCAAAACCATTTGATTCTTTGGTGTTGGATGTGATGCATGACATCATTTGTGCCCACCATTTCTCGGATTACTGAGCTTCTAATTTTATCTCGCCTGGTCTTGTTTACTGCTTTTCCAAGGCATCGCATTTTGCATGTTGTAATTCTTTGCTCTAATGTCTTGTTTTTCTAAACAATGCACATTTATTATCATGTATTTTCATTTGCAGGTAATGTGGGCGAAAACTCACCTCGTTGGCTGTGGTATAAAAAGGTGCGATGCTCTTGAAGCGTTCAAGTCATTAGGACAAGCTTACTTCATTGTTTGCAACTACAACGACAGGTGGGTTTCTCGTGTTTTAATAATAAATTCAATATAATCATATATGTGAGGCAGCGTGGTGGAATCAGGTTCTCGTCAAAATAATCAAAGTGAAGAAACTTGCATTTTTCCACAAGTTTGTGGATTTTTATCAA